ACAAACTGCGCAGGCATGAACTTTTGGAAGACCACGCAGATGCTCCTGGATCGGCGCCGGGCCCCGCTGGCGGTGCCTCCAGGGCCAGGAAGGGGGGTCCGGCGCCGGTTCAAGCAATCCAAGCGGAACTCTCCTCTCTCCACCTCGGGCCAGACGGAAACAGGCGCAGCCTTGTGGATGCACATCTGTTTTTCAATCTCTGTCTGATCAAATTGCATGGCGAATAGCTTCATCCCTCGATCGAGCTCCGACCGAGGCTCCTTTGCCTCGGCAAGCACGGGCCTATACAGGCCACAAACGACACAGCAACTCCCAACCAAATAGGCTGAAGGAGGGGACGGCGGGCGGAAAGACTTGAGCGTAAACAGTTGCGGCCAGGCACCGAGAGAGAAAGACGTTCCGAGAACTGTAGCATCTCTCCACCTCGGGCCAGACGGAAACAGGCGCAGCCTTGTGGATGCACATCTGTTTTTCAATCTCTGTCTGATCAAATTGCATGGCGAATAGCTTCATCCCTCGATCGAGCTCCGACCGAGGCTCCTTTGCCTCGGCAAGCACGGGCCTATACAGGCCACAAACGACACAGCAACTCCCAGACCCATACTGTGCTCTGGAGCCGCCTGAGGTGCAACCTCAACCTAAGCAGCGAGATAAACGAGCCCCACGAAGAGCCTCTGCGGACCTAATCACCCAGAGGACAATCGCTTTGGACAATCGCTTGGGGTAAGATGCCGCGAGAGCGGTCAGATTGACACTACTTCCAGGGAGCTTTCCTCGCAAAATTATGTGAGGTCTAAAACTGAAACTACAAGACCCATGGCCAGAACACAAAACATTTTCTTGTCTAAGCATCGGGACGTGCCAGCCTACGAAGCGAGTGCGTTTGCGCCAACGTGAGCCAAACGCACATTGGTCAACTACAAGCTGTCTACAAGAAGGGTGGCCCATCAGGGCCGCCATCATGGGCTCACGCCAGGCCTTGGACGCGTGAGGGTTCTCAAGGAGCATTGGCACCTTTTGCTTGATGCAAGCCCTGGCGAGCCTTCTAGTGGCAGTGAGCGTGCGGTTGCCTGAGCTAAGCCGAACTGCCTCAGCTGGGGTCGGGTCGGGAATCCCGTAAGGGCACCAGGATCGTCTGATCTGGCGAAAAAGAGCCGGAGTCCAGCTGCTGCATGGGAAGGCTGCGAACACGCCCTTGACGACACCCGACTGGATCCAACCGATGAGTACGTTGACCACCACTGCGTTTGAGAGATCATACTCTGGGCCGTTGAGCACGTCGAAACTGATACAGCTCTCACCCTGAGATTTCATGCAGTCGGTGATAGTCCCAGTACCTGAGAACAAATCTAGATACACTTTGTGATCGTGACTGAGTTGAACAAACTGACGCAATACCTTTCGCAACTTTGCTCGAATCATGTGAGCAGGTAGATAAACGTCTAAGCCCGCGTTGTGGTCCCCTCGGCCTTCATGAAAAGGCCTCCTTACTTTGCTGCAACCAGCACCTTGGCCGTGGCCCCAGGAGGAACTGGGACTCTGGCTGTGAGGCCCATGTACTGGCTCAGCTTCTTGTCTATCAGATTGCCGTAGTCGCGAGCACTGGCGGGTAGACCCTCGAGTGACTTGAGTACCCTGGCGTGCTTCTCGTAACGTTTCACCGCCGTGTCCGCGGCCCAGCGGCCGCGGCGCTTGATGGCCTCCAACGAGCGAGTCTGTCTGAGAGCATCGTCGCTGGCGCCTCCGTGCCTCATCATGCACGGGTGGAGCTTCGCCTGTCCCAGGCCAGCGACCTCGCACACCCTCTTGAACAGGTTGGAGAACTTGCGATAGTCGAATGACCACACCTTGTTCTGAGGGTTGCGCTTCTTCAGGGTGGCAAACCGTGGGTACAGGTATGTCAACTCTACGCTGTCCAGTAGGATGCTCTCGTCGAACTCCTTCGTCTTGGTGGGCACCGCCTCCTCCTCTGGTGCAAGCAAAAGTGCCCAGTGAGAAGTCCCTGACCCCGCCAGCGGCGGCACCAGCTGATGTACCCGAAGACCCAGACACTCGCTCGGCCGCAAGTAAGTCCGAAAGAGAAAGATGAGGCACTGTGCAAACTCCAGTTCGTTGATGTGTAGCGCAGCTCCGACTAGCGCGCACAAGCCGATCCACGGCAGAGGGGCCCTGCTCAGGCCGGGCGCCAAGCGGCGAAAGCCCCGTAGCGAGTGCTTGGCCCTCTCTAGCGTCTTTGAGCTCCTCATGCCAGGCACCCGATACTCGAGGGCTGCGATGACCTTTTCGCCCGAGTCGTGGTTGTGGCCCGCGAAGTAGAGCTCCTCCAGATACTCCAGCATAGCCCTGCTGATGTCCGAGCTCGTACTCAACGTCATTCCGTTGGTGTTGGCCCAGTCCTTGAACTCCTGGAAGTACCTGTCGTACATCATTGCCGAAGGACGAGTCACCTTGTTGACCTCCAGAAAATATTGGCCGAACTGCCTCGCATGCATTGCTTCGTCCAAGTGCTCGCGCCGTCTGCGCTTTGCCCGCTGAGTGCGAAGCTGAGACGTGCGGTCTATCCCGGCCTCTGTCACAGGCCTCTTGGCGGGCATGGGTAGTCTCCTGGCCAGCAGCATCTTCTGAGTCGGAGCCACTGGAGTCGACGAACTCGGGGAGACCGTCGTGGAGGTCCTCGAAGCCATAGCCTGGTGGTCCCAGCGGTGGAGAGCGCCCGCCGAGCGCCCAGTCCCCGTCGTCGAACTCGCCGACGGGGTGCTGGCTGTCTGTGGACCGGGCAAGCGCCTCGACAGCAGACTCGAGCGCAACACGCGCCTCGGCGTCTCGGACGACCCAGGGAGGGCGAGCATCCCGCGGCCCGCCGCCGCCCCGGACGGGTGGCCCCGTCTTGAGCCTCGATGCGGCGTCGGCAGGGTTGAACTCTGAGGGAACCCACCTGGTGACGAAGTCTGAATCCGAGATCATGGACAAGGCAGCAAGTTGGCGACAATGTCTGTTGATATTTGCATTGCTGGCCCTGCCCTTACCCTGCGCCAAGACAACCCCCAAGTTGTCTCCCAAGAAGAGATGACGATGCGAGAAATGACGGGCGGAGCGGAGACGATTTCTGGCTGCAATGACGGTAGCACGCCCCTCCGAAGACGCAATGCTCTCTGCGAGCCGCCAGCGCCCCCGCACCTTGAGGCCCCACTCACTGAAGTCGCCAATGTCCCCACGACGAATGTCGAACAACTCAGGTGGGAGCTCATCCGGGGGGCAGTCTGGGTCTGGCAAGGACTTGATATGATTGTCGGACTCGGCCAGGGCACGCTGTCGAGCCTGAACCGCATCATCGACTGCAAACCTCCAACGTTCACTCTGGCGGCCCCAACCTCGGACGGTCTCCAGCGGGAAGTTCCGATTCACGATGCCGAACCCCCCGTTGTCGACCGCGTTGGCGCCCTCGGAGTCTGAGGCCGTGACCACTGTAGCCCATAGCCTCTTTGTGTCGGCGTAGGCGAGCGGAAGTAAGACCATCATCCACCGAAGCTCCTTCGACACAGCTGGCCAGAGGCGAAGCCGTCTATGACCCGCGACGTCAATGAACCTGTAGATGGCGTGCGGGATACTGAGCAAACACCGACGAAGGATAGCCGACCAGGTAAAATGGCCCACGATGCGGTGAAGAAGCTCTCCAGAACAGAAGCCCTCGTCCAGGATGCCCTTGATGGCGAGACGCACCTTCCAGCAACGGCGATGGCCGACTGAGATGCGCCCGCTGGCCCTGTCCAAGGTCATCCCGGTAAACTGAGCCTCGGGAAGTCCGTGCTCGAGCTCCTTGCACTGTAAGCCATCGGCCGCCAACTGCGCGTACAGTCTGCGGGCCATGCCCCTGACGACGTCGTCATCAGTGCCCACTACCCCAGCGTTGTCCACATAGATGGCGGTGCCGAAGCCGTCGCCAGT